TGAGGCTGAGGCTGAGGATGAGGATGAGGCTGAGGATGAGGATGAGGCTCTGAGCCATGGGCAGGTCCCAGCCTGGGCTCTGTTGGAGCCTGCAGCCCTGGGAGCCGGTGCAGGGATTGCTGCCCTGGGTACTCGTGGGCAGGAGGTTTTGGAGCTCTGAGCACAATCCCTGCTGCAGGTGAGGAGCAGGCACAGGCAGTGAATCATCCCCAAATTCCTGAGTGGGCTTTGTGTGCCAGCCCTGAGGGATGAGCCCAGGGAGCTGCTGTGGCTTGTCCTGGTCCCCATGGCCATGTGGAGCCAGCCAGGAGAGAAATCTCTGTCTGCCTTCATCTGCTTCGATTGGGAACATTTTAACATTCCAACAGTTTTCCTTTACCTGTGTCAGTTCTTGCATCCCCATCCTTGGCTCTCCTGAGTCCCAGTTCATGCCACTGCAGCTGGGAATGGAAGAGCTGTGGGAGGAGACTTTAATTTGTGATACAATGACACAAACTCAACCTCAAACCAAAAATCTTCCCCAGCCCACACCCTGGGGCGTGTTTGGGGGTTATTCATGGGGAGAGGAGCCAATGTGTGAGAGCTCTTCACTGAGTGAGGCACCTGGTTCATGGAATTCATGGTTTGGGTTGGAGAAACCCTCAGAGACCTTCAAATCCCCCAGAGCAGTGCCAGGGCCACCACTGCCCCATGTCCCCAGGTGCCACATGCACAGGGCTGTGACATCCCTCCAGGGATGGGGACCCCAACTCTGCCCTGAAAGTTCAGCCTTTTCAGTTCGGTTCCCTCTGATTTTTGGGGAGCTGGGAGAAGGGAGGAGGAGATCCCCAGGCTGCTCCTTGCTGCTGGTGAATTCCTCAGCCCAGTGGCAGGGAGAGCAGCACTCCCCAGTGACTCCACTGTTCACATGTGCAGGGCCTGGAGGAATCTTCAGGCTGGGTTCTCCCTGTGACCTTTCTGTGTTGATATTCCAGGCTGAAAAGATCAAAAAGAAGCGAAACACCCTTTTTGGGACGTTCCACGTCGCTCACAGCTCCTCTCTGGATGATGTTGATCACAAAATCCTAACTGCCAAGTGAGTGTCTGCCCAACACCTCCCTCACCCCTTCGTCCCTGCCCTGTCCCAGGCAGTGTCCTCACCTCTGCAGGGCCTTTGGGGCTCATTTTGCTCAACTTTTGTTGTCCTCAATGACCTGGGCTTGGATTTGCTGCCCTTCATCAAAAACCTGATTTTACCTGTGACAAACAAGGGATCACAGTTACCTGGAGCAATTGAAAGTCCTGGCAAAACGAGGTTCTGGGAGGCTGCAGGATGCTTAAGGGATTGTCATGGAATGATTTGGGTTGGAGGGACCCCAAATCCCCCCCAGAGCCACCCCTGCCATGGCAGGGACACCTCCCACTGTCCCAATGTCCAACCTGGCCTTGGGCACTGCCAGGGATCCAGGGGCAGCCACAGCTGCTCTGGGCACCCTGTGCCAGCCCTGCCCACCCTCACAGGGAACAATTCCTGATTCCCAAAATCCCATCCAGCCCTGCCCTCTGGCACTGGGAGCCATTCCCTTGTTATTTTCCCCAGATACTTCAGCTGCCACTGCATTTTCAAATTGCATTATTTAAATCTGATTTTTAAATATTCCTGAACTGGGAACAAGAAGTGTCTCCAGTGTCAGCATACACAGCTGGACTGTTCCTGGTGCTTCAGGGCTGTTTTCCCTTCTCTGTCCCCCTGTCCCGTGTGTCCCTGTCCCCAGCCAAGCCCTGAGCACTTCAGCTACCGCAGCAGGTCTAAATTGCATTATTTGAATTTAATTTTTAAACATTCCTGAAAGGAGAAGGAGAAGTGTCTGCAGTGTCAGCTGGACTCAGTTGCAGGAGGTTTCAGGCTCTTTTCCCCTCTGTGTCCGTGTGTCCGTGTGTCCGTGTGTCCGTGTGTCCGTGTGTGGTGTGGCAGACAAGCGCTGAGCGAGGTGACGGCGGCGCTGCGGGAGCGGCTGCACCGCTGGCAGCAGATCGAGCTCCTCTGCGGCTTCCAGATCGTCAACAACCCCGGCATCCCCTCGCTGGCCTCCGCCCTCAACATCGACCCGGGCTGGATGGGCACGCCCCGGCCCAACCCCTCCCACTTCATCATCACCGACGACGTGGATGACCTGGACGAGGAGCTGGTGTCACCCATGTCCATCCAATGTACGGGATGGGATGGTGGGATAATGGGATAATGGGATATGGGGATGGGAATGGGGGTTACCTGGGAGTGGGGGCTCTGGGGACTCCCTGGGAATGAGGGGTTCCTTGGGAATGGAGAGCTCCCTGGGAATGGGGGAATGGGGGCTCTAGAGGCTCCCTGAGAATGGGGGCTCCCTGGGAATTGAGAGTTCCATGGGAATTGAGAGTTCCATGGGAATGGAGGGTTCCATGGGAATGGGGGTTCCCTGGGAATTGAGGATTCCCTGGGAATGGGGGCTCCCTGGGAATGGGGGCTGTGTCTGCTGTGCTTGGGGACAGTGGCACAGAGCAGACCTGGGTCTGTAGTTCATTCACTTGCATCAGGAGGCAATAATTGATCCCAGCTGGGGTTTCCATGCCCAAAGAGCACAGTTGGTCCATCAGGGTCAGGAACATCCTTAACAGGCCAGGCCCCACTGCTGGGGAAGTTTGTTTTGGAGCCTGTTCATTCCAGCAGAAATGGTCATTTAGAAATTGTTAATTATCATTCCATTCTATCTGTGCCCTTCTGGTCAACCCAGTGATTTAAGCATTTACCAAAAAACCCCAAGCAAAGGCAGGGCAGACATGGCAGTGAGCAGGAAACGGGATTGTCCCCATGGCCCCTTGGCCTGGGCACTTTTTTAGGGATTTAAAGGACTCGAAGCTGTCCCCTCCTGAGGCACAGCAGGACCTGCACCCTGCACCATTCCAGGGGGAGCAGCAGTGTGCCAGCCTCAGCTCCAGCTCTGTGCAGGCCTTGGGGTCACCCGGGGCTCCTTCTGTCCCTCTCTGCTGGGGACAAAGAGCAGCAGCTCCCAGGGTGGCTGTCCCTGCTCTGCCAAGCCCAGATCCCAGAGAGGGAGGCTGAGCTTGGGTCACCCTGTGCCTGTGACCCCCCCAGCTGAGCTCCTGGCCTGGGGGACATTGTCACTGTCACTGTCACCTTCTCTGCAGCAGCCCTGAGCCAGCCCTGCCTTCAGCTGGCCCAGACCCTGCCTTGCCTCTCCCCAAAGGGCATTTTCCAAACAGCTTCCCTTTGGGCCTTGCTGAGAGAGCTGAGGGGCAGTGACAGAGCCTGGGGGCACAGGAGCACCTGGCCAGGGCACAGCCCCCTGGTCTGGGCACTGCCATGGGATCATGGAATCACTGAGTGGGTTGGAAGGACCTCAGAGCCCCCCCAGTGCCCCCCTGCCATGGCAGGGACACCTCCCACTGTCCCAGTGTCCAACCTGGCCTTGGGTCCAGGGGCAGCCCCGGCTGCTCTGGGCCACTCTGGATGATTTAATCCAAGCCAGGGCAGTTTGGGGGAGCAGGAGGGAGCAGCAGAAGGGTGTCAGGGCTGGCACCATGTGCTGCAGGAGGTGCCCTGGGTGCCAGGGCCATGTCCCCTCAGCCTGGGGCTTGGCCCAGGGGCAGGCAGAGCTCTGAGGCTTTGGGTGGTGCAGGAGGAACAGGGGGCCCTGCCTGTTCCCAGGGCTCTGCAGCCACAGTGTGTGGGGTCAGGTGAGCTGGGACATGAAAGCTTCAGGGAGCAGAGACCTCCTGCTCTTTGTCAGTACCAGTGACCATCAGAATGGAGCTGGCATCTCTGATAAAGCCCTGGCACAGCCCCGGTGGGCACTGATGCCTGGGGCAGTGCCAGGGGACACCTGAGGAGCTCAGCTGGGCCAGGTGTGAGCCTTCAGCCCTGAGTTCAGCCTCAGCTCCTTCACACTCCAGTGAGACCTTCCCAGGGAGCACTTCCATCATCCCAGAGCTGGGCAGAGCCTGCCCACCCTCCTGCCCACCCTCCTGCCCACCCTCCTGCCCAGCTGCCCCCTCCCTGCAGGTGGCACACCCTGTACACCCCGATCCCCAGAGCCTTTCCCTGGAGGATTCTTTTCCTTTGTGTACAAACCCTCAGGAGAGCAGGGCCGAGTTTCTCGTGCCCAGATGTGTTGCAGAGGACCCGTGGTGCTTCTCCCAGTAAAGCCCATGTCTCTGTTTGCTGTTCCCTGGCTGCCCCCCAGATGCAGCCTGGCTTTTCGGGCGCAGGTTCAGCGACCGCTCCTCGCTGTCCTCGGAGGATCAGTCCCTCTGGAAATACCCTGGTTTGGTTCTCTTCAATTATATTTTCCTTTTTTTTATTTTATTCTGCCCTCTGGCCTTCTTCTGGACTAAAATACTTCCACCAATTTTCCATCTTTCTGGCACGGGAACTAATGAATGTATCTGTCCTCACTGAGCCACTGCCACCTGCACTAACCCTGGAAGAGTCTGGTGGGATGAAGAATCTCAGCTGCAGCTCCTGGGAGCAGTTAGGGAGTCTGGGGGCTTGGACTCGCTCCATTTTACCCCTGAGGTGGAGATTGAGGACCCAGTGAGGCCGGGAGGAGGTGACAGCATTCCCTGTCCCATCCCACCTCCTTCCCTCCCCACAGGTGCTGCCCGTGCCAAGTTCCCCCAGAACCCCTAAATTTATTTTTGAGCAGTGCCACCTCCTAGGGAAACCTGTCCCCTGGAGCCCAGTGCCATGGGGGTGGCACTCAGCCTCCTGGCCTTGGCTCCCTTTGGCACCTTCCCTGGGAGCACAGCTGGGTGTGCCAGCCTGGAGCAGGGAGGGCTTTCCTTGGGCAGGGAATTTGGGGAATGTGGTGAAACTTGGGTCTGGAGGGCAGTGGGGGGTCTGGGGAGTGAGGTTCCAGCCTGTGCTCCAGAGCTCAGAGTAAATGTTGGAGAAGGAGAGCACAGAGGTGCTGAGTTGGGAAATGAGAGGTGGAACACCAGGAAAAGAACAGGGAATCCACAGGGGAAAAAATGGCCCAAGGGAAGAAGAAACCTGCAGCAGAAACTCATCACCCCAGTGAGTTACTCTGCAGTCACATCCCTGTGGACCCTCCACTGTGAGATTCCCAAATTGGAATTGCAGCTCTGGAGCTGAAAAACAAAATCCTGCAATAGAAGGTGGATGGTGTAAAATTCCAGGTTGGAATGGGCACTGTAGGGAACAAGGAGCAGCAAACCCGAGCAGTGGGAAAGGCTGGGATTCACCTGGGGGTGTGGAAACGGCCAAGCTGCCAGAATTATTCCTCCTTCCACTGGGAATGTGTCCCTGTGGATCCCTCAGTCCTGAGTCATTCTGCCAGAGCAGCCCTGTGTGCCCAGCTGGGAGTTTCCAGAGCAGGGATTGCTGGTTCTTCCATTCCCAAAGGAGCTCTCCTCCTCCTCCTCCTCCTCCATTCTGGGCTTTCCTGTCTCTGCATCTTTTTAACCCATCTGTACATTAATTTCTTATGCACATAAGAAATCCTGAGCAATCCTGAACACCTTATCTCCTGCCAGAGAGGGAACATCTTTGGAATGGCAGCAAGGGATGGGATGAGGCCAGGATGGTTGGCTTGGGATGGGGCTGCAGCCCTGGGATCGTTTTCCTTGATGGAGGGGAGCATTCCCAAGGCTCCAGGCAGGTGAAGGGGCCTGTCCTGGCTCTGGGGGTGACCCTGGGGCAGATGAGGGGCACAGGCAGCTGCTCAGGGATTGCTGGGCTCCACTGGCAGCCAGGTGTGACCACAGGTGTGACCACAGGAGCTGTGAAGGCAGTTCAGGAGCTGGTGCTGGGGCTCCGAGGGACATTCCCATGGGGGGCCCCAAAGCAGGGGGAATTGGCAACCAGAGGACAATGTTCCTCATGGAACATTCCATCATGGAACAGGCTGGGAGCAGGAGAGGCCTCCTGGGCCAGAGTCACCAGTTCAGGCATGGGGGAATCAGGCACAGAATCCCAGAAAGTTTGGGTTGGGAGGGACCCCAAATCCCCCCCAGAGCCACCCCTGCCATGGCAGGGACACCTCCCACTGTCCCAATGTCCAACCTGGCCTTGGGCACTGCCAGGGATCCAGGGGCAGCCACAGCTGCTCTGGGCACCCTGTGCCAGCCCTGCCCACCCTGCCAGGGAGCAATTCCTGCCCCCTATTCTCCACCCCAGTATTATCAACCAACCAGGGAACTCCTCCATCCCTGGCAGTGCCCAAGGCCAGGTTGGACATTGGGACAGTGGGAGGTGTCCCTGCCATGGCAGGGGGGGGACACTGGGTGGGGTTTAAGGTCCCTCCCAACCCCATCCCTGTATGATTCCATGCTCTACTCCTGGTGCTGCCCCTGCACAGCAATGCTGGAATCGAGCAGAGCTGAGCCCTGGGACTGGAGCTGCAGGTGCCAACACTGCCCTGCTCACCTGGGGCTCCTGCTTTGGGTTCTGAAGGTGCCACCCAGGCAGCAGGGCAGGAGCCATGAGATGTCCGTGGGGGTGGAATGGCCCTGAAGTGCCCAGTTGTGGCTCTCCAGGAGGGGGGTGGTGGCTGCAGGAGGGCTCAGTCACTGCAGCCACTCTGTGTGTCAGGGAGGATGCTCAGATAAGGTGTTCAGAGGCACCTCCATCAGCAATGCTGGACTTTTCCATGGGCTGGGCATTAATCCAGCATGTTCAGCACCAGCTTCAAGCTGCTTCTGCATTAAACAGGCCTTAACTGCTGGCACGACCTGGGACAGTGCTGGGGGCACAGGGGCAGTGGGGTGGTGCTGCTGGGACTGGGATGGTGCCAGGGAGGTGGTGCTGCTGGGACTGGGATGGTGCCAGTGGGACATGGAGGGTGGGACAGGGATGGTGGGACAGGGATGATGCTGCTGTGATGATGCCAGTAGGACAGCACCAGTGAGATGGTGCTGATGGGATGGCACCAGTGGGACAGGGATGGTGGGACAGGGATGGTGGCAATGGGATGGCACTGATGGGACAGTGCCAGTGGGACAGGGACAGTGGAACAGGGATGGTAGGACAGTGCCAGTGGGACAGTACCAGTGGGATGGCACTGCTGGGATGGTGCCAATGGGATGGTGCTGGTAGTATGGCACAGGTGGGACAGTGCCAGTGGGATGGTGTTGATGGGATGGCACTGGTGAGACAGGGATGGTGGGACAGTGCCAGTGGGATGGCAGTGATGAGATGGCAGTGATGGGATGGCAGTGATGGGATGGTGCTGATAGGATGGCACGGGTGGGACAGTGCCAGTGGGATGGCAGTGATGGGATGGCCCCGGGGGGATGGCCCCGGGGGGGTGGCCCCGGTGGGGTGGCACAGCTCCGTGGCCAGGCCATGCCTCACGTGTGCCCCGTGTCGTTGCAGCTCCAGCCCTGGGCAGCACGGTCCGGCAGCGCCTGGTGGAGCCGCAGCACGGCCCTGGCTCGCAGAGGTTGGTAGAGGCTCAGGCCGAGCCCGGTGCCCTGGCACGGCCGGGCCGAGCGTCCCTGCGCCGAATGCCCAGCCTGAGCTCCGGAGCCTCGTTCGGCTGCGACCCGCCCGGCTCCAGCCCTGCACCATCGCCTGCCTGCTCCTCCTCCACCTCCTGCTCCTCATCCACCACCACCGCTGCTCCTGCTTGCCATCTCCACCCTATCTATTACCATCACACCACCTCTTATTTCCTCCAGATGGATTCCATCCCCGACCTGCCCCCTCCTGATGTCACCTCTGGAGTTCGCTGTCGCACTGGGAGCTTTGGGTATATTGCTGTTTCTTTTCTAGCTGCCTCCTGCCTGCCGTGCCTCACAGCTCACGCTTGCTCTGGGGTGCTCTTTCTCTCACGTTCCTGCTGCCCTTTTCTTCCGGGTCTTTATTCCGTGATTTATCTGCTTTTGTTCCTCCCGCTGCTCTCCCGAGCTGCTGGAGCCTCTGAGGAGGATTCCATGAGCCATCCCCACCTCACCAGCTCAGTGGGGGCACCCCAAGGTGCTCTGCTGTTGTTTTACTGGAGCCGAGCAAATGAGAATTCCCAGGGGCTCGGTATTCCCTAAACAAGGGGATGTGAGGAGGTAACAGAAGTGACCACCAAACCTGACCTCATTTGAAGCCTGGACCTCCCTGGGTCCTCACAAGAGAATTGCAAACAGAACACGATGGGTGGGGACCAGGAGGGAGCAGCTGGAGAAATTTGGGATGGTTTTCAGAGGGGCTAGGGTGGCAGTTCAGGGATGTGTTCTGGAGTGACTCCACCTCTGGTGTGGTAGGGATGAGGAATGGGGGTGTTCTGGCTAAGGAATGTCTGAGGAGGGAATTGGAGCTGCTTTTGTTGGCTTTACCTTGGTCCCTTTCAGTTGGCTCTTTGGAGAGCTGGCACATCCTGGGGACTGGTTATCCTCCATCCTAAATCCCAGTTATCCTCCATCCTAAATCCCAGAGCTGTCCCAGTTCACTGTGCTGGTGACAGGGAGGAGCAGGAATCCTGCCTGGTGCTCCAGGGGGCTCTGACAGGACTCAGGTGTGTGTGGGGTGTCCCAAGCACAGGATCAGGTTCCTCACACATCCTCGTCCCACGGGGCCAGGGGTGCAGCCAGTGCCCAGGAGTTGTGTCCCTGCAGGTGTGGGATGCCCTGGATCAGTGGGATGTGAGCTCTGGCCTCAGGTGTCCCTGCAGGTGTGGGATGCCCTGGATCAGTGGGATGTGAGCTCTGGCCTCAGGTGTCCCTGCAGGTGTGGGATGCCCTGGATCAGTGGGATGTGAGCTCTGGCCTCAGGTGTCCCTGCAGGTGTGGCAAGGCTGTGATGGACCTGGGAGTCCTGTCCCTGCCAGGTGCTGCCTGTGGCCCTGGACAGCTCATTCCATCTCTGCTCCATGCTTTCCCCATGGCACAATTACCAACAATCTCCCAGTGCTCAGTGTTGGGGAGCAGACTGCTGGGAGAAGGCTGAAATCTCTGAATGAGGCAGAGGATGAGGGAATGTCCTTCACCATTATTTCTCCAGGCAGGGAAACATTCCCAGTCACCACATCTTCACCCATGCCAGCACATTGTCCCATTATCCCCCTAGCTGTGGGTGCCTCTGCCCTCAGGTGCTGGGATCTGTCCTGGCCTTGTTCCCAGTCCCTGGTTTGGATGTTCCCCCCCTCCCTGCCCCTGTGTCTCAGAGCTGAGCAGCCCCAGGCACATTCTGGAGTCTGGAACACCGAGGGGGAAATTCCTGCACCTGCTCCACAATGGAAGATGAAAGAGCAGCATCTCAGTTAATTCCGTAATGGTTGGTTGGGGTGATGAGAAGCAGAGTAATTAATTAACTCCTACCAGTGGGAGCTCAGTTGCAGCTGTCCCAGTTGGACTGGTAAAAGCTGGGAATGCTGCTGGTCCTGCTTCCATTGCCTCCCTGACTCTGCAGGAGGGAAGGCTCATCCTGCCAGCCTGGGGCTCGTGTCCTGTGTCCTGAAAAGCTGTTTAAATGGGATTTATTTCCACCTGGGGCCCACGACACATGGAATTAACTCCTGCCCAGGACAAATCCTGAGTCCCTGCAGACCCCCTGAGACTGCAGAGGGAAGCAGGATCCGGTGTGGGGAGGGAAGGGGCCGGTGCCAGAGGTTGTTAGGAGGGAATGAGGGGGGTCAGAGCCCAGCCGGGCACCCCTGGGTGCCAACAGGACTGTCCCACCCTGCTGCCCTGGCAAAGCCCGGCTGGTGATGCAGGAGAAGGAGTCAGAGCCTCCCCCCTGGGATTTGCTCCAGCTGCAGCACAGCACGCAGCTCCCCCCACCATCCATCCCTGCTCAGCCCAGCAGCAGAAATGCAGAGCTGGGTGCCCAGAGATGAGGTTTTGTCGCTGTTAATTGTTTTATCCGACTGCATCACCAGCAGATCCTGCTCTGATGCACCCCAAAAGCTGCGGGGCCGATGGATTGCTGCTCCTCCCTGACACCCCCGCTCCTGGAGCCTTTCGTGCATCCCTGCAGCTCCACTGCCACGGGGGGGGCTCAGAAAGGCCTCCCAGCAGCAGAGCAGGGCCCCAAAGATCCCCGGCTCCCCTGGGAGGAGGAATGTGCCCCCCTGATGGCTGCTGGAGCTCTTGAGGCTCTCCCCGTGCAGCGGAGCCGAGGCTGGGCAGAGCTCACAGGGGAAACGTGTCCAAGGAGCTGCCCCCGAGCAAGGCTGGGGTGTCCTGAGTCCTGCTGGGGTCACCGTGGCAGGGAGCCCCCCCTCACCTCCTCACTCTCTGCTTCTCTTTTGCAATTGGCTTCAGAGGATCCGGCACCAGTAAGGTCAGAGCGGCTGCGGGCTGGGGGGGAGAGGGGCTGGGGGGCTGCGTGTGCACAGAGCTTTGTGCTGCCAGTGCCTGCCTCGGGGGTCACACTGCTGGGGATGGGAGAGCAGCACCAAACCCCCAAATCCCCACGGCCAGGCCCTCCTCCCACAGCAAGGGAGCCAGAGCTCAGGGAAGGGACAGAGGCAGGAGCGCAGGGAAATGAGGAACTCGCAGCTCCTGCAGGGTGCTGGGTTTGTGTTGGGGCTGTGCCAAGCTCAGCCCCACAGCAAATTTGGGGGTTTTCCATAAGAAAAGGCTTGGTCCCTGTGCCACGTGCACAGAGCCCAGCAGCCAGGGGTGCTCCCAGAGCCAGGCACAGAGGGCTGAGGCAGGAGGGCTCTGTGGCTGCTGGGGCAACCCAGGGCAGCTCCTGGGCCCTGCCCAGAGAAATCCCTCACGGGCTGCAGGGCTGGGGAAAAACAGGAGTTTGTTCTCCATCCTCCTCCTGCTCCTCCCCTGCTCCTCTCCACTCCCAGCTTCCTGTACTCCAAGCTTTCCTTACTCCATGCTTTGCTCTCTGCTTCTTCTGTTTGCCATCCCCATCTCCCCTCCCTCCCTCCCTCCCTCCCGGCTCGGGTGGATCCTCGTGGGTGGGAGGAGGCACAGGAGGACGCAGATCCATCGTGCCTTAGGCAGGTGAGCAGTGGCAGGAGCTCTGTGGAGGTGCTGGGAGTGCCTGGATCCATGGAAAAGAGCAGGGAGCACTGCTGGGATGGAGGAGGGCTGCCAGGTATTTCCCTGGGCAGGTTCTCTGTGCTTTGCAGGAGGGATGAGCTGTCAGGGGCTCCTGCTGCTCTGCACAAACACTTCTCTGGTCCCTTCCTGGGGTCCCATCAAGGCCAGCCATGTCCTGGGATAGCTTTTCCTCTTGAAAATGTGCTGTGACAGTTCAGGAGCATAATCCTCCTGGGAATCCGTGGGATACAGGCCAGGCCTTGGCTGAGCCTCCTCAGGGATGATGGCAGCATCCTGGGAATGCTCTTCCCTCCCCCTTGTCCTGCCCTGGACTCAGGAGTGGCCACTCCTCTTGCTGTCTCTGTCCCAGCCGGTGAGATCCCAGCAATCCTGTCCTGCTCTTGTGCTCTTCCTTGTGGGAGCCACCAGCCTAAAGCTCATCTGGGGACAAAGAAAGTCCCAGAAGTTCCTGGCCATTGGTGTTCAGCTCCCGTGGGTGCCACAGCAGGAATGCAGGGGGTGCCTGTGCCAGGTGTCCTGGTCTGTGGGGTGTCCCTTGGACTGTCCCTGCCGTGGTGGCTGTGTCCTGTGTGCTGGCATGTCCCAGAGCCTGGCACGGCAGGGTGGGCACTGCTGCTGCTCTGGTGGGTGCAGCTGTCACCAGCTCTTCCCTGTGTCCCTCAGGAATGCACAGCTGGGCTGTGTGTGAGCAGAGCTGGAATATTGGGAATTGTGTCCTCCTGGCCATCAGCTCCTGGATGAGCCCAGAGGGAAAAGCTGGGGCTCCAGCGAGGTGGAACCCATGTGGTGCATCCAGTCCGGGGCTGGAATCCCACCCAGCCACACCAGGAATGGGGACAGGGACCCCAGCCCCTGTGCTGCAGGGAGGGCTGTGTCACCAGGAGGTGACACAGTGGTGGCACTGAGGCCCTGCCCTGCCCTGTCCCACCTCCCAGCAGGACCAGCTGTCCTGGGATCAGGTTCCCAGCGCTGCTCTCTGGGAAGAAAACGCTGCTGGAGCAGAGCTTGGCTCTCGGCCGCTGCTGTCATGTGCTGCTCACGCTGCCAGGGTGGCTTTGGTCCCTGCTGTGTGGACACCTGCGGGCAGAGGAGCAGCTCTCCAGAGCCCAGCAAGGGACCTCACCCTCCTCACACATCCTTCAAGTCTCCTCAGTGGAGAAAAATCCATTTTTTCCTGTATTTGCTGCTCTCTGGGTGTTGTAAAGGGTTTATATCACCGACCCCCACCCGGATGGCTCCTGTGGGGCTGTGGCAGCCAGGAGGGCTGGGTTGGATTTCCTGGAAGAGAAGATGGAACTGGGACAGTGATGGTGAAGGGAGGAGGTGTTGCTGTGCCCCGGGCACACCCTGGGGTTGGCACTGCATTCCTGCCAGGACCCCATCCTGCCTGTCCCTGTCCTGTGACAGGGCTCTGCCCCACGGCCTCGCCCCTTCTCCTGCCTCTGTGCTGCTGCCAACCCCTGCAGCCAAAATCTGCTTTGTTTTCCCGGGAAGGGGGCACTTCCCAGGGATTTGTGGAGGAAAGAAACCTCTGGAAGTGGGTGTTCTACCCTGGTGGCATCTCAGCAAGGCTCAGCATGTGCAGCTGGGGGCTTCAGGCTCCTTCCCTGGGAGAGGAGTGTCCAGGCAGGAATTCCCAGCAGGAATCCCCCTTGGCAGGTGTGGTGAGCCATGAGCAGGAGATCCCTGAAGTCCTTGCAGGAGCTGGAGGTTGTGGTGGCAGTGACATTGGCGGAGTGTGGTGACATTCCATCTGCAGGCACTGGCAGCACCCCGAGGTGTCCCAGGCCAGCAGTGTGGCTGTGTCCGTGTTTTGGGAGTGGGCTGCAACACCCCACTGTGCTCCAAGGCTGCTGCTATTCCCAGTTATCCCAGTTATCCCAGTTAGCTATCCCAGTGCCAGCCACGGGCCACCAGCCGTGACGGTGACCTTGTGCAGGACCCGCTGGTGGCCCTGGCAGCTCGGTGGCTCCACACGTGTGACCCGTGGCACTTGGGTCCCTTGGAGGGGCCCCAGCTGCTGGCTCAGAATAGCCAGGATTTCACACCCTGGGGATTGTTCCGTTCTGCCAGTGGCTCCCCGGGATGGGGCTCAGTGTGCGAGGACAGGGACAATGCCAGCAGTGCCTGGGGGCTGCTGGGGAGAGGAGAGATGAGCTGTCCACAGCTGGAGCTGAGCTGTTCCCCACAGCTGGAGCTGAGCTGTTCTCCACAGCTGGAGCTGAGCTGTTCCCCACAGCTGGAGCTGAGCTGTTCTCCACAGATGAAGATCCATGGCTGAATCCCAGGGCTCTCGTGGTTTGGTTCCCTTTTCCTGTGTTCCTGTGGAGCTGCTGAAGCAGAGCCCGATTATTCCATGGGTTTCGTTAAAGGAATGCCCTTATCCCAGTACGAGGAGAATGTTCTGGGCCTGTCTGACCTCCCTGTGCCAGGACTGCAGCTGTGCCATCACTTTGTGCAGAGCAGTGAGCAGTGCCTTCATCAGGAGCCAGGATTGGGACCAGCACTGGGAAACATCAGTGACAAGGGACACTGGGAGCCAGGAGTGGCACTGGGAAATGTCTCTGTTGGTGACAGGGACACTGGAGCCAGGAGTGGCACTGGGAAATGTCTCTGTTGGTGACAGGGACACTGGGAGCCAGGAGTGGCACTGGGAAATGTCTCTGTTGGTGACAGGGACCCTGGAGCCAGGACAGCCCCACACACTGCAGTGACACGGAGCTGGGGCTGTGTCACACCCTGCACGAAGGGATGGGGCATCCAGAGGCACCTGCACAGCCCGGAGAGCTGGGCCTGTGCCAGGCTCTGCAGCTGAGCAGGAGCAGGGACAACGTCCTGCCCCTGGGCCAGGGCAATGCCAGCACCGACAGCCTGGGGACAATGGGCTGGGAGCAGCCCTGGGGACAAGGAGCTGGGCACTGCTGGGGGAAGCTG